GGATTTTGTTTTATACCATTCCTTTAAACCAGTGGTTCTCAAACTTTTTATACCAAGTACCACTTCAGAAAATATTTGGCTCCTAAGTATCACCATAATGACCAACATTACATTTCAGTAGTGTAGTAGGCCTAACTATTCAACTACAGCTCTGCACAGTTAAAAAAAACGAGGCAGTTTTAATCCTAATAAGAATATTTATTGTTGTCAGCCACTTTAACATTGTAAATACACAGTTTGAACATTAACACTACACTGTGCTTACATACAGGCAAATAAAAAAAACTTAAATAATGATTAAATTAAAATGTGTTGTACCAAAAGTTATATAACAACTGTACTGTACTGTAATGTAAAAAAATAAAAACTTTACTCAGATTAAATTAAAATGTATTAAAGGGCTCATATGATGTTGCTAAAAATAATATTATTTTGTGTAGTTGGTGTAATGAAATGTGTTTATGTGGTTTAAAGTTAAAAAAACACATTAATTTCCACATACTGTACATTATTGTTTCTCCTCTATCCCCCGCCTTTCTGAAACGCTCGATTTTAGTGGATATCGTCCTCTTTTGGAAGACCAAACAAAGTAGTTTCACTTTCACAACGTGAACATCTTTGTGTGAACATTTGGGCGGCGTTATGCAAATCTTCCCACATCGTGACAGACATGTGGGGGTGTGTTAGAACGTGCCATTTTAGGCAGTCGAGGTTGACTCTTAACTTTTATAAAGAATATCTCTTTGGATTTGAGACTTTAGTCTTTGCAACTTTACAGATCTTCTTTATGCACCAAGAGCTTGTAACACTCCAAAGAGAAAGGAAAAATTGAAATCGCATCATATGACCCTTTTAAATTTGTGTGGAGAGTGGAGTATTTGAGTCGCGCGCAGAACACAAAACTGACGGGAGTGGCTCTGGTGGAAAACTGACGGGATTTAAACATTTCAGATGACAGACATGCAGCTAATTTCTCCGTCACTGTAAGTTACTGAAAACCAGTGTTGGGCTCGTTACTCAAAGAATGTAATATACTACTCATTACTAGTTACTCCTTTCAAAAGTAATATCGTTACTTTACTTATGACTTTCTGGCAACAGTAATTAGTTACACTACTAGTTACATTACTTTTTCTTCACGCCCCACAGAAGTTGTAACTGTATATCTTCCACATAAAATTCTTCTAGAATGTTACTAACAACATATTTCTGCCTCATCATTTGACCAAAATCCACATTGGATCGCAGTCAGAAGTTATTACAAACACTCAATAGTGATTGATAGTGACATTCAAGTGAAGTGTTGTATTAATCTCATTAATTGTCATATGTAGCTTGAAAATAATTATTTCTCTGTTACCCATATACGATTATATTTCCATATGTATTTCATCAAATCACATAAGTTTGTAAGAAACTGTTTAATTTTCCAAAAAGATTTTTAATTATAGTAATATAATGTACCACATGCTGATCAGAGGGATGTGGGTGGGATGTAATGTCAGAGTAAAGTAAAGCCACAACTTACACAAAAGTGTTAAGATCATCTTTTTTCCTGACAAAATCAATATAATGCATTATTTATATCTGCTGAATGTAAGCTTTTCAATATTCCAAGCTTGCCTGCTGCACTGGGGACTCCACATGCATGTGCGAGTCCTGAAAATTATGAAAATAAATCTAGGAATTATTTTATTGTTGGATTTTAAATCAGAGGGGTTGAAGCATCATAAGTAACTAAGCTGTTTTATGGATGGTAACTAATATTATTATTGAAATCTTATAAGTAATTATTACAGTAACTAAATTACTAGTAACTAGTTACTGCCCAACACTGCTGAAAACACACATGAAAACACGTAACACATGGTAGACACGCGTTTGTGCAGCAGAGCGGCTCTCTCGCACTTTATGACGTGACAGACGACTAGTTGTCGAGTCTTGTTCCGTTCACACAGCGCGTGTGTTCCGAGAACGCGGTTGTGAATCCTGAAAATTTACAGGATTGTTGTCACACCCTGTAAATAACCGAACTGTGTGTGAACATAACCGTATAAAGGACCCAAATACAGGACTGACAACCGTATTCTGCTGCTGTGTGAACGTGGCCAAAGATCGGTGGCTGAAATTAACCTTTATTTGACCCTCTAACTCTAGCACTTTCTATTCTATTTTAATTCTACTTTATATTTATCTTCTTTCTTGTTTTATTAAAACAAAAAACGCTTTCTATTTTTTTTATTCTATCTACTTGTTTTTCTTTGTGTGTGTGTGTGTGTGTGGTGTGTGTGTGTGTGTGTGTATAAATATATACACCTTGCTACGTGTAAGTTACTGTGTTAGGCTAACCGAGACTTGTCATTTGCACTTATATATTGTTACTCTTTTGTTAGTTTTGACTGCTTTTATTGTCCTCATTTGTAAGTCGCTTTGGATAAAAGCATCTGCTAAATGACTAAATAAAATAAAATCATAACACAGACCAACCGTCTCTCGCTAACCGGTGAACTCTCGGAAAAATAATCTCGATTAATTTAAGATCACACACAAACTGTTTGACTATAAACATAGAAATGTGAGCGTACATGTTCTGACATGGATACAGACTTATTTTCACTTTTGTGACCACATACCTGAATTATCAGGATAAACAAACGCACAGGCAAACTTCTGTCTTTCTGCAGGCGCAGCTTGGTAGCGTCCGAGATAAACACAACGCGCATCACCATGGTGCGCGTGCTTTCTCTGGTGACTAGAGCTGTATTGATTCAAACTCAATTGTCTTTAGTGGTGACAATTGATAGATGACTGTGCACAAACTCTTCTTTACATCATAAATAAATATTAATAAAACAAACAAACATTGCAATTGTGAATACACAATGGTGTATCACAGTATTCACATGGATAATACACTTAGCTGGGGGACTCAAGTGGACACAGTTTGTTCCCATTTGTTCCTGTCGGCAACAGAGCGGTTTTTTTTTTTTCTGTGTAAACTTAGGATTTATGAAGTGGAACAGACAATAATTTTATTTTATTGGGCAGTTATAAAGACCATAATTAGATATTGTATTACGGAATGTTTTGGTAACCTTACGGGTTAAACAAAGTCTATACTTGCACACAGGGCCTAAAACTAACTTTTTGCCACACCTGCCAATGGTCGGTGACATGATAAAATGTATGGCCAATTTTTTTTTTACCGGCCATGAAACTCTTTTTGCAAAAACAGGCAGTTATTAGCCTACTACTACAATGACTAAATATTTTGTACAATATTTTTAATTTGTCCTGCTGGTGCATTTTCCCTATTAATTATAGCCATTCAACATTTAAGTGATTTTAAAACAATCTTCACAAACTATATTATATATGCATAAACTATGCATATTAATCTTTATTCAAGCTATAAAAGTTAATCAGCGACTAGAACAGTCCAAGGATTTCTCTTTTTCTTTTGTTCTTTGATTTACAGGTGCATCTCAATAAATTAGAATGTCATGGAAAAGTTCATTTATTTCAGTAATTCAACTCAAATTGTAAAACTTGTGTATTAAATAAATTCAATGCACACAGACTGAAGTAGTTTAAGTCTTTGGTTCTTTTAATTGTGAGGATTTTGGCTCACATTTAACAAAAACCCACCAATTCACTATCTCCACAAATTAGAATACTTCATAAGACCAATAAAAAAAACATTTTTAGTGAATTGTTGGCCTTCTGGAAAGTATTCAGATGCATGTGACGTGGATCTGACACACATCCGATTTTCTCCCAACTCTTTACAGTCATTTAAGATTTTATAACTAATTTAAGACTATGTTTACAAGTTAACTCGCCAAAACCACGCATTTTGACATAATTGTGTGTGCTTTCATGCTACTGGTGAGCTGTCTGAAGCGGCTCAGCGTATGTGTACAGCCGAACACGCAGCCTTTCAAACTATACTTCACTCACTGCACCGTTTAGGAGGCGTAACCCCAGGCATGTGTCACCGCATTCTCGTGTTAGAAGAACAAAAAAGGGAAAAGTTAATCTTCCGAAATTAAGCAGAAAAATCTTCTCAGCTAAAAGGTATTAGAACCGTGTCTAGGGACAAGTGCCTTGTCCAAATACCCACACTTGCGGTCTTTGCACTTGACCACTTGTATGACGTATTTCCTGTATTTAGCCCAAGTGTTCAAGTGAGCATGAAGACCACAAGTGTGTGTCCCATCAGGTAATGAAAAGTTCGACACACAATTGTAGTGTTGTAAAAATGCAAGTGTTTACATAGCTTTATTTTAATTTTAAATACTCAGAAACAGCGAATCTCTTTTAAAACTGGCTGTTGTTTTTACTTCATTGCATTGTTATAATTCGTAAAAGTTGTAACGTTACCCGCCAACTGGCGACTGACACATACTCGCCAACGCGGATTTTTACTCGCATTTGGCGCTTGGCGAGTGTTCATTTTAGGCCCTGCTTGCACACCTAGCAGCGAAGACCATTAGGAAAAAAAAAAAAAAAAAGAGTACATCAGTCCAGTGAGTCATTATACGAAGAGTCAGTTCTTAGGGAAGTACATACAATTTTAGATGACCCATTGCACATATTGCACACAGAGTATCAATTGTTGCCCTCTGGAAGACGGTACAGATTACCAGTTTGCGGATACAATCGTTTTATAAAAATCATATGTTACACAACAAATGAAAGGTATCTTACTACATGAGCAGGTATAGGGACTTGTGTTTTTATAGGGAAGGTTTTTATTATTATGTATTGTTGTATTTATTGTTTATGGATTCAACATATTGTTATTGTAAATGCTCTTTGAGTCAAGACAAATTTCCCCTTCGGGATAATACAATTTATTTTCAATGCCTGACATTTTTATACATTTAATCTATGCTTTCAATATTATTAACTTAACAAATAAAACTCAATTTTTTGAGAGTGCTTACGGTCTAAACATTTATCAATGAGTACAATGCCCAAGTTCATATTGTCAATTTGTTTTATTGTTTCTTTCATTTTCTTTCTTCCATTCATTTTTTTCCCCACAAGATCTTTATTCAATCAGTTCAGTTTCCAGGTATTAAATTAAATAACATGAAAATGTTTGTTTGAAGACTTCTCACTCCAAATCCTGTCCTTTTCTCTACTCAGCTGCACGGAAGAATTAAAATTTGTAGCACCGTAGAGAGATACTCTACTCAAAAACAGAGCATGTGAACACAAGTTTCTTACAAAAAAATAAAATAAAATCAACAACACAGAAGGTCTGATTGTTAAGGTTTTAGCAACAAATATCTAAAGATTACTGTTATCTATAGCACTACCTGTACAAACGTTTTCCAGTTTATTTACTCTAGTTTGGATTGTAAACACTGAAGCAACAAAGATAATCATAGTGCATACTGAAATGTAAAAAAAAAATATCCCAACAAAGACAGTTACAAGTAATTTTCTGTCCAAACTTCTGTGAAACTTCTGCATGTTGGGACAAAGTCACACCCATATTTGATGTGTAATATATATGAGGAGTGGGATTTTGGACTAATGAGATGTCACGGTGGGTGGGGATACACAGAGTGACATCCCAAAACTAGAAACCAATCAATGGACAAAATTTTATGTTGCTTTTCAGTCTCAGCTGGTTTGGAAAAAAATTAAAAATAAAATAAAAATAACATGGGTGAGATATTATCACTTGTTGCTTTATCATGTTTCACCTTGTTAGAATATGGTGTTGGTATATATTTTAAAAATACAGTTCTCAGATTTTTTACTTTGCAAAACCTAGTGTGTTAAACATAAGAACACTGATATGATATCTAGATATTGTCATGACAGTAGTTTTCACACAAACAGATAAATCCCTTTAAGATTTATATTAATGCATTTATATTGTATTTTAATTACAATATTTTTTTTTCTGCTTATACCAATTTGTTGTGAATGAAAATGTGTGTTTGTGGTGGGGCGTTGTATATGATAGTTACGTCTCTCCATAGCTAGTTTGCAATTTTGCTGTCAATTGTAACACCACCTGAACCATTCAGACGGAGAAGGTAAGATATAGTAATATAAATCACTTAATCCCTAATCAGTCCAAGAACATAAATGAGAAAAAAAGTGAAGACCTAGAATTTGCAGAATGGTTTACATAGTATCTCTGTAATTACACAAAACACAATTATGGTTCATATCTCCTTTGACGATTGTAGTCATTCCAACCTTGTGAAATAAAACACAGCTGGAAAGGGTGGTGGACCGTAGGAAAGGTTCTAACAAGAATATATACTGCAACTAATAATTGTAGAATTCATTTGTATTTAATGTTTTCAGCTTCTTATTTTGACCATAAACTGATGCAGAAACTTTTCTTAAATAACTGATGGCTACCTGTTTTTTTTTTTTTTTTTTTAGTGGTGTCTTTCTACTCATCTTTCTCTACTACGATTTCTCCATGAAGTACCCTCCTCCTCTGACGTAGCATGTGGAAGTACAGCTGAGGAAACACTAAAAGAGAAACAGACAAAAAAGTAAAGTAAAATATCTTTATCAAACCATTATAATCAGAGGCTGTTTCATCAGCCTCAATTTCCAAAGCTTTAACACCATCCCACAAGTTATTATACACTAAAATTAAACTATTGCAAAAAGCAATAATGACAGAAAAAATGTACATTGGAATTTACATCATCAGGGTCGAAAATTAATCTGGGCTTGGGGCAAAAAATTCAGTGAAAATGTATTTTGCAGTGCAGACAGTTTCTTTGATTATAACAGGAGTTTTTGTGTGTGTATGTGTGTGTTTGTGAAAGTCATTGGTCACTGGCCACTTTAAAGTGATGGGGAATGCTCGCTTGCTGTACAGTATATTATTTATTTTCAGGTCACTTAAAACAAGGTTCATAGGAGACTAAGTTGGGGTAAGTTTTAACATTTATAACATTAAAATTATTTCATGTTTCATCTAAACAATATTTTTTTAGGTATCAATAACAAAGGCAACCTTTGTAATTATATTTATAAACTTTTTTTTTTTTTAACAACACATTCGATTTAGAAAAATAAGACACAATTGTGTCTTCTTATGGAAAGTCTCTTGGACTTTCCATAAAAGTCAAAGAGATAAGTTGCCAATCAAATTAAAGGGGTCCTATTACGCTCTTTTACAAAATCTTGATTTTGTTTTGGGGGTGTACTAGAACATGCTCTCATACTAGGTTGGTCGAAAAACACATTATTTTTCACATATTTTACATTATTACGACACCTCTCTCCCCAGTCTGGCATGAACGGCTCGAATAGTTCCTGTATCAAATGAAGGCCGCCTTCTGAAATATGAAATGTGCTGTGATTGGTTAGCTTGGCCAGTGTGTGTTGTGATTGGTTAGCTGGGCCAGCGTGTGTTGTGATTGGCAGCACTCGGCGCCTGGTCGGGAAATGTCAAGCTCCTTACCATAGCCGCCTGCAAGCTTCACTGTAAATATTGCGTCAAAATTAAATAAATTTGAGCACGATTTAAACCCGGAAGATTGTAACCACTCTAAGTCCGTCTGCCTTGGGAAAGCAAGCATGTCTCCGACATAGTGATAACACTCGTTGCCTTCTCTAGTGCAGCTCAACCAGGTCTCCTCCCATTCGTCGATATTTGTGATATCACAAATCCCGGAAAATATGCGTTGTAGTCCAAACGAGTCGTTCGTTGTAGTTTTTGAAAAGTGATTTCTGTTAAATAAAATATCTCCTTTTGAAGTGGACTTTGAGCTTTGTAACTGCAGATTTTTTAATGCTCAAACAGCAACATTACAGACTAACTAAAGTTGAAAAAGTGAAAAAGCATAATAGGACCCCTTTAAATCAATATCAACAAAATTAATCTTTGCACTATAGGTGCACAGAAGAACACAAAAGTGGCATTTAGGTATATTTACAGACAGTTTAATGAGGCTTAGAGGTGGCATGAAAGCACTTAAGTTCATAATAACAATGTTATGAAATTAATGTTTTAAATTTATACTTATAATTAAGATTTATACATAAGCTTTCCATTGATGTATAGTTTGTTAGGGTCGGACAATATTTGGCCGAGATACAACTATTTGAAAACCTAGAATCTGAGGGAGCAAAAAAATCTAAATATTAAGAAAATTGACTTCGGCTATCTAAATGAAGTCTTTAGCAATGCATAATCAAAAATTAAGTTTTGATATATTTACAGTTGGAAATGTACAAAATATCTTCATGGAACATGATCTTTACTTAATATCCTAAAGATTTTTGGCATGAAAGAAAAATTTATCATTTTGACCCATACAATATATTTTTCGCTATTGCTACAAATATACCCGTGCTACTTAAGACTGGTTTTGTGGTCCAGGGTCACAAATAGTAAATTATTTAAATAACTAAAATTATACTTTAAAAATGAAACAAAAATGGCTCAAAAGTCACTGTCTTTGTCAATGAATCATTCATTCAATCGGTTCGTTCAAGCGGATATATTCAGGAACGAAGCAAGACTGTTCAAAAATGCACATTCATTCATAAATGAAACACTGTGTTTGCTTGGAGATGTGCAGCGGCTCAGCTGTGAATTTGTTTGGAACTGCTGGACTAGAGCAATATGAGATGATCGTGTTCCTAAAATGTCACTTAATATTAATTTATTGTGTATTGAACTGTTTTATAAAATAAATTAAAATGCTGTCACTCATCTTCATCGCAATCTCACAAACTTCCGTTGCAATCTATGAATCTCTTATTTACATCGTCGCTACTCTTTGTTGGTTATAATGAGGGGATTCACGAGCTTGTACAACTCAGCACTGAACAAAACCTCAGGTGTTTTGTGTGGTTGTGGCTTTGACTAACTTAAACGTTAACAGAGCTTTCCCTATATCAAATTTTAAAACTAAGATGTTCAGATCTTCAGCAAAAATCATGGTTCATTCCAGATAATTTACCTGAAGCAGTCTGAAGCTTTCCCAATCTGTGCTGTGAGGAGCAGGACTCATACCGATAAACAAGCATTTCCATTGGCTGCAGTCTGCAGGTGTTATGGCCAATCACAAAAGCTGACATTGTGCAACTAACTACACACAAAAATACCCCACTACATTTTTATGTACGTAGGGTATTGAATGAAATAATAAAATATCTAAATCTATAATTTCCAAAAATAAATAAATAAATAAATAAATGTAACCAGGCATCCCCCTCGAAATTCACACCCCGGACTCTGCCCACCCACAAAGTTTTTACGCTTGCTTGAGGTGGTTTTTGACATGCGAAAAAGGGTTAATGTGAATAATGGGAGATGGAAAAGCATTTTGCGAATAAATTTTGCGTTCAAAAAAGTCATGTGACTTTGCGCTATGGGACAGCATAACCTGACTAACCAGCGGAACGATTTAGTTGCACAGCATCTGAAATGTTGTCATGGTCATTCTGAAGTGCACGAGCAAAGTCTGTCGTCAAAGTATTTCTGTATAACTGCCTCCCAGAACGGTCTACCACGACTGTGTTCCCAAACAGCTGACATTCACCCCCGAAAGTAAGACCGCATTTATTGTGTTTCGTCTGCTCACTCAAAGCGCAAGTAATTTATTATATTTGAGAGTTATTATATTCAGTGGCTTCTCTTACTTTTCTTAGTGATGTTTAGTGCCAGTTTATCAGGAAGTGACGATTTTGTTCTCTCTGACTCGTTGGATGGAAACAGTGCTTGTTCACAAATGTTTTATCCGATATTCCAATTTTGCGCATTAGTTAAATTCGCAACTTTGGATGGAAACCCGGCTTATTAGCAGTCAGTCATGATCAATTTATTCCAACAGTAGCAGGATTAACATGATAAAGACTGATTCGGCTGGTCTTGTGACAGAAACGTAGCAACCCCAATGAGGAAATGGTAGCATGCAAGTAGACGTTTTATTGTGAGTTGAGTTCTTACACGGGATGTAGGACAGCATGACGATGATCAAGAAGTAGTAATAGTCAAAGGACACATTGTATTTGTTGGGGAGCCTCAGGGAATACATGCCAGATCTCCGCACATACGGTAAGGAGGCATGTATCGTCAGCAGTTCTCCAATTACTCCCAAGGGGTACATGACAATAAACATGTTATACCTGAGGAAGACAGGAGAAAGGAAAAAGACAAAGAAGGGAAATAAATGAGACTCAACTTGACATGAGACATCACACATTATAAAATACACGCACCAATACATTATGATGTAGCACTAGGCTAACTTTAGTTACCATGCATTACTTCACAAGATATTATTATATTAGATTAGTAGATGGGCACTCGAGTTAGTGACTCGGACTCGAGTCGCATTTTTATAGACTTCAGACTTGACTTCGGACTCGAACTGAAATGACTCCAGACTTGACTCGACTCGAGGAAAAGGATTCGTGAATACTTTAAAAGCAACTCGAGTCTTTAACAGCGCGTCAAAACGGCGGAGCGGATCACACAACAAGCGCTCAGGGTCGTTTATGGTAAATATCTTTCAGCGCTATATAGGGCTTTATTCAAACCCTTTCAGCTCCGTGCGCTTTCTTTATCTCTCTCTAGACACCGGCACCAAGTTCAAGAGCAGCGGGTGACGCGGTTATTTTAGCAAAAACAGAAACAGAAAATTATACATTACTTTCACTTAAACACAGCAGAAAACAACAATGCTGCAAATATAGTTATTTTTCTTACTATTTATTTATCTATAACCTATGACCCTGACTATTTAAACCAGTGACAAGACGTTTCTGATCTACATTTAGCATTATTAATCTGTAGGCTTAGAATATATATATACATATATTGGTCTAATTATAATTGGGAAAATTGTTGTTAGATGGCTAGGATGGAACTTAAACTTTGAAACTTGAGAATGTAATTTGAGAATGTTTTGATTATTGTAGCTACATTGTTTTTAGTAGGCTAGATGCTTTTAAGTAAAATATTACAATTGTATAGATTTCAGGAGGAAACCCCTGAACAGAAACAGTATTTTTTTTTGTCACATGGCCTGTATACATTTATTGATTTTAAAAAATTTTTGTCCGGACCTTTGCTTGGAAGAAAATATGAGGCCACGCCTCTTGGATAGAGGTCGTCCGATATGGGTTTTTTACTGGCCGATGCGATATTTAGAAATCAGGGCAGCCGATGGCCGATATATGGTGCCGATTTTTTGTCAGATTTTCTTTCTTTTTTTTCCTCCCCTTCATCTCATATAAAAGTGAGTTTGAGTAAATGATTATTGCAGCGTACAAGATAGTAATAGTAGTAGTAGCCTAATTCAGAGTAATAATACATGGCTCAAAACTTAAGCACCTTTTCAAAACAGTTCTGAAGCATGCTTTTGGTTTATGTTTGCTGACAGACACCAGTGTTTCCCACAGACTTGCAAATGCAAATTCATTCTCTGCCAGCAGGAGGCGCTGTTGGAGCGGGAGATATAGCGGTTTCCCCGGTAACGGCTGCAATCAAATAAGCACTCTGCTCACAAACGCTACTTTATCAGGCATTACAGGAAAGACGAAATTAAAATGACATCAAAGCTTTTTTGAAGACGGTTGGTTCTTTTCAAAGATACATTCATATAAAAACACCAGCGCTGCATTTTAATTTTGAAACGTGCAGTGCTCAGTTTATTCAATAAAGTAATAACTCAATGTATGGGAAACACTGGACACTGCTATAAGTCAAATGGCCAAGAGATAACAAAAATAAAAGTTCACACATATTACACAGCCTGCTGCTCATAACTGCTTAAGAGTGTGCTGGCCATGAGTGATGACATCGTGGATGCTATTGTCAGACCTACACACACATTTCATGAGGAAAGTTAACGTGCACATTATAAACAGCCCAGAAGTTTCATCTGAATTGCATATTTCTACTTTCACATGCAAAGGACTTGTTGCACTTATGAATATGATAACTTTCCTGCATCAATTCTAGTAGGGTAAAACGTAATTATGCTTTCGAAATGGTCTGTTTTGCCCTGCCATCATTAGCTGAAGCTGTGTGTGAACAAGAAGCGGCTGCAGAGTGTGAGTTGCTCCGTCTCTCACGCAGCCAGAGAGAGATTCTCCAGCGTTCCGCAACAACGCTTAGCTGCCCGCAGATGCGCCTGCCTATAAATCGGCCTAATTTGCAGCACAATCGGCCAATGCCGATTAATTAAAAAATGCCCAAAATCCACTGATTAATCGGCCGGCCAGCCGATCAATCGGTCGACCTCTACTCTTGGAACTTTAATTGAATACCCCTGACTACATACATGTCTCATTGTTCAGGGATTTCCCACTCTCCAGTCTACACATGCCTGCAACATATCCCTGTGCTGAATTATTTTTCATTGCTGGTGGGGTTAAAAAATATCCTCACTGGTGATGCTACACCACTAACAGACCGTATGAATTTCCAAAAATAAAGATGCTTTTTAAAATATTGCCAAGTATAAAACTGCAATGTGATACTGGCAGAACATTTGCAATGGACTGATTTGGAAATTCCTAAGCCCATTTTCACTTGGAATCTGTTATGGATAGGGGTTGGGTACCGAAACCCGGTACCAATATGGCACCGGTACCTATGTAACCGGTACTAGAACTGAATCAGAACAAAGATTTCGGGTGCCATGCCTGAGTGATCGATTGAAATATTTGTCCTCTGGTTCTCCGAAACGGATGTAAGAAGCATCATCACTGGCACTGCACGTGAAAAATAATTTCCTGACTGAGAAAATGCACGTGAACTCAAGTCGGAAAGCTCTAATAATACAAATCCAACAAATCTGTGTAGTAACGAGAGTGTCCATGTTGCACATTCCGACTTAAAAGCACAACTCGGGAAATGAGAGCATCTGAGGAGCGAGTGAATGCAGTAATTACACTTGCTCTGATGGCAGCAAGTAGCCTTCCGTTAACTAAGCTAAACATGCTTAAATTAAAATGCCTAAATCTAAACTTCCCTTATATTCACATTTCTAAACCTGTTGTCCAACAAAAGAGAACAATATAACCTTTTTACTCAACAACACCAGTGAAATGCTTCCTTTTGTGATCTGATGTGGCTTGTCACAGAATGAGGCAGAAAATATGTTCCATAGGCTACTTTAAAAAGAATACATCGATTAGCAATGGATTATAAATAAACGTATGAAAATACCAGAGATGGCTTGAATAACACAGATAAACTATATTGTCGCAGTCGAGTGTTTATTGTCTTTGTTTCATCATTCAAACCATTTATATGTTCTGTTTACTCAGTTACAGCTATAATAGCAATGCCTTTGTCCATATAAGGGATTTCCTGGAGGGTCATGAGTTCCGCTTCTTCTGTGACTGGATATGTAGATTTTCTGTGTGAGGGCGCCCTCTGGCATCCAGTATGAATGAAACAGACATCATGTGTTTATAGTGCTAATGGCCAATCCATAATTTTGGGGGGAATTTTAATTTATTTATCATTTTTTAAATAAGTACCGGTTCAGGCACCAGAACCGTTTTAAAAGTATCGATTTGGCACCGGTATCGAAAAAAAAAAAAAAAAGATACCCAACCCTAGTTATGAATAAAATAATTAATATATTATAGAGTTGTTAAATTAAACACAATCTGTGGTGATGTCACATTTGAGTTGCATTGTGGTATATGAAGCTGCCTGAAGTGTACATATGAAGTAGACTTACTCCCTTACTCAAAATCGAGGGGCTCCATCATTATAAACTTCCCTCATCCACTTAAAGTGGAAGGTACTTCAAAATGGCAATGGAGAAATTAAGTAAGTTTGTGACTGTGTGTCTAAAAACGAAGTGGAAATGGTGAAATTGAGTGGTTTTTTAAACTGGTCTTGGAGCAACCCCAGCACTGTACATTTTATATGTCAGCCTTATCTGACACACCGACTTCAAGTCTTACAATCTCTTGTCCACACTTTTGGATTAAAAGTCCTAATGGACATTGTTTATTGATGACCTGTAATTACCAGAGTATATGCTTTACGTACAGTAAGTGTGCTCCTCTCAGTTGCTCACGGCCCAAGTGAACGCTCCACTCGTAAAAACTTTGAACAGTGACACTGACAATGCTAGGAACGCCATCACTTTGGCGTGTGTCTTTAGAAAATGTATTTAATCTATGTTTAGTTCAGTGCACAGCCAATAATCATCATAGATATATGTGAATACAATTGGAAAGATGCACTGTCTTTTAAAAGTAAATATACTGTGTCAACAGGCACCGCAGAGAAAAGAGAGCACATGGTAGAAGGGAGAGGATTATTTCCACACATATTAGTTTATTTGGAATGCCAGAAGAACACATTATCTGAACATATAGTTTGCCAAGCCATGTTATTGTTAATTTGCTTCAGGAAATAAAAGACGAGTTCGAACCCTCAACCAGGAGTCACGCAATACCAGGTCTATCAAAACTTCTTGCAAAAACTACTTGGTATATTGCGTTGGTCAATATGTAAATGAGATGTTGCATCTGTGTCCTTTAATTTGCACATCGTTAGTAAATCACCCGCTGAAATTTTCCCTCCCATCGACGCTGTTTTGGAATTGCGCTTTCGCGCTAAATTACCATTTAGTAAAACTGGCCCCAATACTCTTCCCCTGTAGGACAACTGGGTTAGCAACCATTTCCACCTAGACAGTCGGGTGCATCATTTTCATCTATACCCTCCTAATCCAATTTTTTTAATTCATTAGTACCAAAATAAATACCTAAAGTCTTAAAATCTAATCCCCATTTAAAGTTTCCAGGCAGCTGTAATTGTCACAGCCATCTGCTGGAGTGCCCAGGAAAGCTACCAGAGGGCACTCCTCCCGGATAATTGCCCAGTGCTTGTGGACTTCAGTTTCCATCACCCTTTGCTCTGATTATTGGTCCATTATACCCTCAGCTGTGTGTGATTAAGAGTTACTCAGCTCACCTGTATTTATACCCTGAGGTCGGTGTCTTTGGTTGCTGCAGTATTGCTTGTTAATTTGTGTTTGTGGGTTCTGTGTTTGTGGATTACCTTGTGCAATGTTTTCTGCTTTTTTCCTTGATGTGGATTACTGTTTTGGGACTAAAATAAAGCTGCTATTGGATCTTCAATATTGCCT